GTGAAAGGCTTTGACAAGCTCCTGCTAAGACGGGGGAAGGCATGCCGTTCAAGTCCCGCGAACAATCGATAAGCCATAAGAAATCCAAACGAGCTGCAGACGGCCAGTACAATGACAACACACGAGCCAGACGCAAGCGGCGTAAAGAAAGTGCTCGATCGACGCCCGCAGTTGTAGATCCTATTCCAGTTAGTCGTGTGAAGGAATTGCAAGAGGAGTGCGGCGCCCGCTTTTCCAATTCCAGTTTGGGAGAGAATACATGCTGCGTTTGTGATTGCTTCCACCCTACAACTGTCATTCTGGAGAAACAAAGATGTCGCTGCGCGGTGCTTTTATCTACGATGAAGGCGCAGCTAAAGCCACCCCCGCGCCTCCCGCGGAAATTACTTGCTGAATATGACGCATCAAATTTCGATTCTAGACTCGCTGGTATGTTGCTATCGAAGCGCGGTATCACCGTCGCTGACTCTGGTGTGGTTCTTCAGCTCTGTAAGGCATGTCTTACTTCTCTTTTGAGCAAAAAGATGAAAAGCCCACCGAAATTCGCGATTGCTAACGGGTTGTTTGTTGGGACACTTCCTGAATGTTATGACGACCTAACTATGACAGAGCTCGCAATGGTAAATTCTGCGCAGCCGACTCGTTTTATGACTGTCGTACAGCGTGGTAAGCATACGTCGATCCGTTCTCACGCTTATTACTTTCGTGCTGCGCCTTCTCCTCCGGCAGCAATGCTGCCAGCTGAAGTGATATCAAGTGGAATTATCGGCGTTACAATGGTTGGTGCTATGACACCAAAGCAAAAGGTAAAAACCTTAAAACGATACCAAGTGCGTGTGCCTCGACTATTTTCTCAATTGGATTGGTACCGTGAAAACAACCACCTCTACAATCGTATTTCAGTATCTGGACGTTTGCAGGTTGAGGCTTTTACGCGTAGTACCTCTGCTGTTCTCGATGGTACTTCAAGTAACAATGAAGTAGCAGGTTTGGATAATATCTGAGGCAGTACGGATAGCGGTTTTTCTAGTCCAGAGATCGGTGCTAGAGGCAGCGGCGTGGCTACTGCGCTAGACGAGTTACTTGATTTGTAATGGGCGTGCATTGCATAAGTAGGTAGATTTACACAAGTAGGTAGTTTGAACATAAAAGTAGGTACTTCAGCACGCGGGTAGCGCGTGCTGTGTTGTCGCTCCTTGATTGGCTGAAATTCAGGTATTCAGCCAATCAGGAGCCGACTTGCATTGGG